AAATGGGCTAGAGAAGGATGTGGGGAGTTTAATACTATAAAATAAAGACTTGATATAGTCTGTAATTTGATAAAACTATTGTAAAGGTAGAAGAAAAGTGTGATTCAAGATCAGCTTTGTATGTTGTTTTTGTTTTTAAGTATAGACTTTTTATTAGGAAGGAGATTAATTAATATTATCTTGGTGAACTATATGATTTGTTGCAATTTTGTATCTGGACCGTCCACAGTTGATCTTAGTCATACTTGTAATTTAAAAGAGATTTTAAAATTGTCATCTTTTATAAGGGAACTGTCTATATTATCCCTATAGTTTGGTGCCTTGGTGAGAAGCTGCATTTTATTTTGTTGAGAAAGTAAAGAAAAATAATGGTAAGCAACTGCAGATATTTGTTTATGTGTGGTATTAAGTTGAGGTCATATATGACTATGAAAGCATGAAAAAATATTACTGGATAATATGATGAAAGTGAAGTTTCTTACCTTTTGATAATATTTGGAGAGAAAAATATATGAATGAATTTTTGTTGTAGGTTTTTTTTTTTTTTCTTGTTGTCCTGCTCATTCGAAGTCGTCGTGGATATTGCAAATACTCACGTTTAATCAAACGACGAGTGTATGATCATATTCTAGTGTTGGTAGTGAGTGAGTTTACTTAAAATGATGCTTAATTTCTCCATCATAGTAAATCACTTGGTTCAGAGCACAATTTTTTCGGCGAAAATTTCAGAGTAAACTGTTTTTATTACAAGTCTTGGGGCACTGTGTTAAAAAGTAAAACTATTGGGTTAGTTCACTTGATAATGCAGTGTTTTCTTATCAAAAAAGTAAAAATCTTACAGTTAAAAGTAAAAGATTTTCATGTTTTTTGGTCCCAAATATTTACTTGAACATTATTGCAAAAATTCAATTTTTTTTTTTTTTTAAACACATACCTTGGGTCGCTATAGAAACAACCTCCTTGTATAATTACAAGGATAAGGTCTGCGTACAACTGACCCCCCAGACCCCAACCAGTTGGGAATATACTGAGTATGTTGTTGTTGTTGTTTTTAAACACACACCCACACCAAGAGTTTTAGCACTCTTCCTTGGATGAAAAACTGCTTAGATCACAAATTATTGAACTCTAGAGAAATTGCAACTTGCAAGCCATAATTCTTGGTAATTGTTATTGTCAAGTTTTAATGCATTACTTCCATGAATATCATGCTGTCTTTTGGATATAACAAAATTAAAAAAAAAAAAAAAAATACTTTCTTGTCCTAAAACACACATGATTTATGTTGGTCCATATTTCTGCTATAGTTAGGACTTTCACTTTATTTTTCATTTCAGTGGGAGTTAAAAGTTTAATTTTGCATCACAGCCCTTTTTGATTGATGTGATATTTTTCAGACCCTCTTCTTATCCTATCTTCCATAAACTTCTTTTTCCATGTCTGTTCACTTGCCATTTAAATTCTTCAACATTGTGCTTTTCTTTTTGGAAATTTATAGATAACTCGTTTTCGTGTCACCTAATTAATTATCTGGGGCCGGCCCGTCGAAAGATTTTTCGTGTCCCAATTCACTTCGATGCTGAGTCGAATTTTGCTAGATTCTAATTCACAGTAGAAAGATTTGATTTGCACTCAAAGTGGGATAAGATTCATATCAAATATTGGTCACTAAGAAGTCCATGGCTTATTATTATTATCTTCTTCATTTTTCTTTTGTATGTTTGTTGGCTTCCTTTTTGAGTTTGGAACATGACTAGTGGCTCCATATCTGACTGTTTTGTGGAACTTCAAATCAGCCCCACAAACAGGAGAAGAAAAAAAAATCAGCTAACTTTATTTGTTGTCTGCTTTGTGTTTGTACTTAATTGTTATCCTATTTTCTTATATTTTTCTGGGCAAAACATTTCTTGCAACTAGCATTGTTTGGACTTTGCTCCTTTCTTATTGTGAATTTGTGATGCAAAAAAGCTGCTTAATCTCATGTTTGCAATCTTTCCTCTTGGTTCATATGATTATTATGTATCCACTTCAAACCCCCTAACCAATAATAATAGTAATAAAGATTAAAAAAAGGCAAAAATTAACTTCCAAAACTACCCTCGATGCTTGAATTTACTATGCAAAATCATTCCTTTCACTTGGCTAAAATGTAAGGATATTTTCGTAAATTCTAGGTTCGGGCACACCGGGCTGTACAAAGTCCTGATGTTTGGCAATCCGAGCATCATAGTCACCTCGGCCGATGCTTGTCGGAAGGTCCTCACGGACGACGAGACATTCGGGCCGGGCTGGCCCGAGGCCACAAGAAACCTCATCGGCGACAAGTCTTTTGTGGGCATCTCGGACGACGAGCACAGGTGGCTCCGAAAGCTAACGGCGGCCCCAGTAAACGGGCACGAGGCTCTCTCCCTCTATGTGGGCTTCATCGAGGATAATGTCGTGTCGGCCCTAGATAGGTGGGCCCACTCGGGTCCGATCGAGTACCTTACCGAGCTTCGAAAGCTCACGTTTAGGATAATTATGTACATTTTCTTGAGCTCGGAAAGCGAGGGGATTATGGAAGCTCTTGAGAAGGAGTACACGGCGTTGAATTACGGGGTTCGGGCAATGGCGATTAATTTCCCCGGATTTGCCTACCACTCGGCACTTAAGGTTAAAAAAAAATCTTTGCTTTTAAACTAAAGGGAGTGTATTTGTTTGGGATTTTTAAATACTTTTAAGACTTCAGAAATCATTGTGTACTTAATTTAGATTTTGTAAGACTTTTAAATGTCTCCAGGTATTCATTTGAGATTTTTAAAAAAGGTCTTACAAAATCTTTAGGTATTTAACTTATTCGAGACTATGATCTATTAAGACTTTCTGCGATCTGCTTAAAAAACCACGTACAAATTCTCACTCCAAATCCTACCTTACCTCCACCTCCAGGCTTAAGTTAAGATTTCACAAGATTCTTCCTAAAAATTTTAAAAAGTATCAAATCCCAAAAAGTCTCAATAGTTCACTCGAAATCTTAGCTTAAAATGTGTAACTACTAACTACATGCATATATATATTCACCCGAAAATGAATTTTACCCCATTTTTCAGGCGCGCAAGAGGCTCGTTGCTGTTCTCCAATCCGTGGTAACTTCCCGAAGGGAGTGGAGGGCTCAAAATCCTCCGGCAGCTAAGAAGGACATGATGGACGCACTCATGGATGCAGTAGATGAAAACGGAAGAACATTGAGTGACGAGGAAATAATCGATGTTTTGGTCATGTACCTAAACGCGGGCCACGAGTCCTCGGGTCATATCACAATGTGGGCCAGCATTTTGTTACAGAGCCATCCTGACGTGTTTGAAAAGGCTAAGGTACATCGACAATTCAACAATAAGCAAAAAAGAAAAAGAAAAAAAAAAAAAAACATTTACATCACTACCTTAAAATTTAATGTGGGATCAAACCTTAAATTGCAACTCAGAGGGAGCAGGAAGAAATTATGAAGAACAGACCACACGATCAGAAAGGGCTGACCCTTAAAGAGATACGACAAATGGAATATCTTTCGAAGGTAAAAATTCGGTCTTACCACATTATATATATAAAGTTCAATCACATCACATTATTTTTCTCTGGGAAAAATTAATAAACAGATAAAATAATTTGCAGGTAATTGACGAAACACTTCGAGTGATTACCTTCTCGCTTGTTGTCTTTAGAGAGGCAAGGAAAGATGTTCGAGTCTGTGGTATGTACACTTTTCGAACTATTTATCAGCAAATGATGGGATTTACAAAATGAAGTTGGCTTATTTATATTTCAAAGGTTACACAATTCCTAAGGGATGGAAAGTATTGGTGTGGTTCAGAGGCGTTCACTTCGACCCGGAAACTTATCCCGACCCAAAAAAGTTTGATCCTTCACGATGGGACGTAAGAAATCAAAATGCTGTTCTTTTTTCTCTATCTACTCTTTTGTTCTACTATAATCTCTCATACATTAAAATTATTTTTTTCAATTCGATTTTGTATTTACATTTTATCTTTGATAACTTATATCTCATAGGGATTTACGCCACGAGCTGGACAGTTCCTCCCGTTTGGCGGTGGAAGCAGACTGTGCCCTGGGAACGATCTTGCCAAGATCGAAATTTCCATTTTCCTCCACCATTTTCTTCTGAATTACAAGTGAGTCCATGTTTCTTTCTTATGACCCTCTACAATTCAAGGAATTGTGTTATGTAATAATTTTTCTCGTATTTTATCCTACTCTCGGCAAATTTTGCAGGCTTGAACGCCATAACCCTGATAGCCCTATATTGTACATTCCGCATACAAGGCCAAAGGACAATTGTCTGGCGACAATAAGACGAGTTTCTGCTCAAAACGGGACAACCGAATAAAATTAGTGTATTTTGTTTTCTTTTCAGCTTTGCCTGTTGTAGCTTTGCTTGTCAAGGTTCTACATTAATAGCTTTGCCTGTATCTTACTCCTTTCAACTGAATTTTGTAGTTCTTGTTCTGGATAATTACTGGTATATGTGGTGTGATGAAAATAAATTTAGTTGAATTTTTTCTTTGTTGCAGTAAATTCTTGTGAGTAGAGGTATCGAATAAAAAGAGTTAATTTATGATGGTCAATAGGGGTTTACTTTGAGGGAAAAAATGGGGATGAAAATTAATGATAATTTTTTAAAAATTAATATTGAATAATTTTTTTATATATATTTTGGAAAATTTCAACTTTTTTTTTGGGAAAAAATTGAATGTTTGAGCTTTTAATTGTGAAATAATAATGCTGCAAACTAATGTTAGAAGTGCAAAATAGTGTTGAAAAATGCATTGAAGCTTAGCAGTAGGACTTTTACCTAAACAAATCAAATTGTGATCATGTTCTTTTTTTGTAATATACTACAATTCACCAAATTATTAAAGAAGATGGTACAGAAACTAGTATAACATTGCTTCTTGATTTAAATAAAAAAAAAATAAAAAAAAAAAAAGATAAATCACAATGCATTGTCGAATGATACTAATTTTGTCACATGATACTAATTTTTCTGATCGATATTTAAGCCTTATTTGTAAAATAAATCACAATATTTACTTCAATTACAATTTAAGCACAATTTTTCAATTTTAACAATATAAACCAGGTCTTATGAGAAAAAAGCAGCATTTTCTGCTAGTTGAAATAAGCCAAAATGGTAAATATGCCAATTATGATTGCATCGCTTTACATTTCACAATCTTACTGAATATGTTCAGTTGCCTCCTGGCACAACATTATTTCGATCAAGCCCGATTTTTCGACAGAAGTTCTAAGTTAAATAAATTTCTCTAGTTTGTCAAGGGAGGATATTTTTACAGTTTAGCAATGGCATATGCAGGTAAGTTTGAGTTGACTGGCAGCTTCAAATCTTCCCAGTCATCTTCATTTCCCTTGGCGAAATATCGCTCGACCATTTCTTTACTAATCGACTCTAAGTTCGAGGGCTCCCACTGCAAATTCAGAAAGAGAAGAAAGAAAAAGAAAAAAAAAAACAACTATTCTTTAAAACAATAGAAACATCTTAAGGTATTAATGCTTCTATGTATAATTAGACGAAACCTCAAGGATACTGTTTGTAAATAACCCTACTTAGAACCGAAGGCTCACGTACCTTTGGATTCCGGTCCTTGTCAATCAGTATGGCTCTGCAACCCTGAATTTTTGAAATAAAATGGTTTAAAGACTTTCTAATAATATAGCATAGACATGCGAAAAGTTTGAATCGAAAATATTTTGCTATTTCAATACCTCGACAAAATCCTTGCTAATATCTCCACGCAGCACACGACAAACCATTCTGAACTCCCGAGCGAGGCATTTGCCAATGCCCTGAAGCCTCCCTTCTCGAATCTGGAGAAATATATAAGAAATTTTTAGACACTGAATTCTTTTAGAAATTTCATTTTCATT